GTGACGATCAGAAGTGACAGGATTTCCACTGACGGGTTCCTACCACTGTAATACTTATATGGTCCTTTAACATGAAATGTACCGAACATTATGGTGTGTTCACGAGCTCTCTGTGACATAATAACAGTATAAATGTATCTTTTCCACATGCAAAGGAGGCTGTCCACCCTCCAGCAGATACTGGATAACCTCCTTCGACAGCAGCTATAAACCGGGCGGGCTCTCTGTACGACGCTGTGATGATAAAACCTCATAAATAGTTGTGGTCAGTCGTTAGATGTGACAGCCTGAAGGGATGGAGAACACTGAGACATTTTCAGGAAACTTAAGAGGTTTTTGTTTCAGTAAAACTTCAAACAAACTACTTTACTCCACGACAACAAAGGTCATAATCAAGTTTCTACATTGTGGTATTGCTACTGTGCTGTTGTGAAATATGTATATATAGTTGCTCTACTTCTCTCTTGTGTATTGGAAATGAAGCATTGATTAGCAGAGGGCCTTCAGACCTTTAGGGGGAATTCATTTCCTGTCTAGCTGACACCTACCTGTGCATCAGGTGATGTGTTCAAATGTCTTGTTTGACCAACAGCGCAAAACCCAAAAATATTCACATTACACAGAGAAAAGCAGCAAATCGTGGGATTAGAAAAGCTGCAACCAGAGAAGTTTTAAACAAAGTATAGTTGTCCAGTGTGTCTTTAAAGAACACTTTAATCTAACAAAGTAACACGATGTAATAATAAACATCTAACTTTCACTCAACGATAACCATCTCTGATATAAACACAATAAAATCACCTGAACACACCTTTAATCCCAACTTCATATTGTCTTAAATTATTCTCATAACTGTTTACTGTCCATATTAAATGTTACAACTGCCAGCTGACTGAAGTTAAAGTCTCCCACTGATACCTGTGAGGGTTTTACTCCTCAGATCAAATGAAGTGAGCGAGCAGCACCTGAAGGCAACACCAGCATGAGCTCAAAGGGAGATTTCTGGGGGAGGCAGTTAAACAGTCAGTAAACACACACCACCACCTACCAATACACATATCACTGTGTCAATTTAATATTTGTAAATCACCTTATCAGAGTCGGGATATGTTATCTTCAGCAGATCACAGGAGCAAACACCAAGGCGGAGGACAACAACTGCACAGTCCCGGAACAGGAAAAGACACCTCTTCAGTGAGAGTAAATACACCTGAGAGAGCACTAACCGTTACCTGACCACTCTGTTACACTTCACAAAAGATTAACTACAGCTGGAGTTTGTAGTTTCACTGTAACTGAGACAGAAAGCAGCAGTTCGTCTCCGTTCAGCAGCTTTGCTAACAGGGAGCGGCACACCCAGACTGAGTGCGCTCTGATTGGACAGGCAGCTACAGAGCCGCGTTCTGATTGGATAAGACGACTGTCAGTCACGCCCCTCTTGGGCAAACGCGACTTGGTGACGTTTCTGGCTTGTAAAGGTAGAAGCAACCTGCGAGGAGACTTCCGACCCTGGCTCCTTCAGAATAAAAGCGGCGTCACAACAAATCCTTTCAAATCCGTTCTTTGCAGCAGGATTAGCTGTAATTAATCAGCTTGTAGCACGTGCTTTCCTACTTTTGATTAGTTGATACATAAAATGTCATATACTGATTTATGGAGTCTATCAACCTACCTACCGATCATACCTTACTAGCAGTATTGCAACAACATATTTCATTAGACCAGTTTTAATCTGTGCCTTTCTTTAGTGAGTGTCCTCAAAATCTTCACTCAAGGTCCACTTTGTAGTTTCCCCCCAACCACATCTTAAAGTCTTCCTAAGCATATGGAGTTTGCATAAGAAGGTAACAGGTTGTTATATGTTGTGACAACTGACAACAACATCCTGTTGAGGAAGACTGACGTGTTGTTAAAACCTCCTGAAAATGCCTTGTAAAGTGATCTTTTTGAACTGTTTTCACACTCACTTCAAGGGTGATTCATAAAAGTACATTTCTGGGCTTTTACGTTGAAGGGCACACACTCAGGCTGGAAGTACTGCTGCTGAAGCAAAAAGCACTGGAGGTGTCTAATGAGTCAAATGATGGGCTGTACTGACACAGTCAGAGAGAAAACAGCAAGTCACATTAAGTATAATTAAGAACAGTAAGAAAGGAGGAAGAACAGAACAAATTGAACACAGCGCGAGCCAATCTCCTCACAGAGAAACATACAGTTTTCTTTTATTCACCCTTTGTAGCTGAACCACAGTGGAGTCAGAAACAGCAGCAGAGCGACTCATCATGTGAGAAACAGAACAGGAAATGCCAAAACACAGAAAAAGAATGTCCTGATAAGGAAAAGGTCATAATGTACAGAACCATAGTGTGAAAACCTGTATATCACTCTCTCTCGCACACACACACACACATATAAAAAGAGACCGCCTCAATCATGTAATTTTCTTCATGTTAGAAAGAAGAAGGATTTCTGGACAATTGTGACTTTAAAGTTGCAGTAGATAACTTTTTGTCATATTTGCTGAAACTTTTACTACATCCTGACAGTAGTTCATGAAAAAGATAATATGTGAAAAAAATGTGGTTCCTCTGGCTCCTCCCAGTGCTCCTAATGACATCATCAACAATCCACCAACAGCAAATGACAAGAAGTTTTATAAAAGTTACCTGCTGCTGCTTTTAATGCAATGCATGCTGGGAATTATACTCTAATAAGATAACAATGTTTCTAAATAACATAACATTTTACATTTACATAACATTTTGCCAACTCATTATTTAGTTACAAGACTGAACTCTGAAAGTATATAATTACACTGACCTAATACTGAAAGAGGATTTTATTTAAGTTAACTGATTCTTACTGAGACTTTACAGTGCAAATGAGTCTGGTTTAAAGTAAACACGCAGTGAACTCTGATAATTGGTTTCCCTGCATTCCCCAACTACAGAACACAAGTTAACAGAATGTTCTCGCTTCGTAATGAATCACAGATGAATGTTCGAGGTGATCAATACCCCCTCACTTTTGTTGAAGCAAGACAGATTTATTGGCTCAGAAGAAGAATGTGAGTTAATGCCGTTATGGTGTGTTCACACAAAACGACTCAAGCAGCTGTCTGTCACCAAGCAGCAGCTCTGTCTCTCTAGTCCTCCCCACACAACACTGCAAAAGCCGTTACCTGGCATGAATTTGCATCTATTTGTGTCTTTGCATTGACTTGTCAATTATCATCTCATCACAAAATTTGCTTCACTATCTGTGTGAATACCACCACCACAACTTATCTTGGTGGTAGTCCAAAATGACAGTTTTTTGAATCATTTTAGTAGTTCATCCCACATAAATCATGAATTTGCGTCCTCCAACCGATCATACAAAATTAAAGTTTCAGAAGGCAAGTGTTCTTGACCTCCCCACTCCCTACTGGGTTGTGGGTGTCATAGCAGAATACCAAGACATAGTGAGTTTATCTGTATGTAGTCTAGTTCCTCATCTCTCCACAAACACCCTTATTCTCTGCTGCCTCACATTTTACAGATGGTAGCAGTGGTGGTACATTTTGTTTCTTTGTTGAGGTTTATGCTTCTGCTCATGTTGCTTCAGTTAGCAAAAAGAGGTGCTTGCCTATGTATCACCACATCAGATGCTGGCGCCAACAAAGTCTGTTATTCTTTTATTTCTGCAAGTAAACTTAAATGGTTCAGGATTGACTTGTATCAACCGCCTGTCCTGTGGTAGAATACATGAGGATAACTGCTTTTCTTCAGAAGCTACATATTGCTTGTGCTGACATGCATATTGTGAATCAATGTCTTGGCTGAAAGCTGTGATGATGTCTTGGAGTCTGCCTCTGCTAGTTTTGCTCTTCCGCTGCTGCCATCTACTGATGTAATGTTAATCATGAATCAAGCTCTTGCAGTGGCTTTTTTGTTAAACGGCACATGTATTTACAATGCTTTAATACTGTTGATTTAGTAGTGAAATAATCGGCTTAAGGTATGTAAACATAATTTGCTCACAGCCCCTTCTGTGATTTACCTGTAATACTGGCCTCATAGCATATCCACTGTGGCTTTCTTAGATAAGACCAACACAACCAAACTTCCTCAACACACTTCTTATCCACATATAAGTTAAAGAAACATTAAAACTCAAAGGCAATGGATTTGTAGTCTTTATATGAATTACATTCAAACTGCTGAGCTCCATTTTTACAGTTAATGCCTCTGCTACACTCTGCTACACTTACTGCCATTAAGCTTACATCCATGTACTAATGGTCGTCATCATCTTGTCACGCTACATAACATTTGATAAGAAGAGACTGTCGTCTCCAAGCAAATATGTGATTTTAAATATGTATGTCAGTGAATAATTGTCTGCTGTGCTGACCATAATGTATTCTTGCAGGGGGTGATGATGTCAGAGCCTAGACGCCATATATCAACTCTTTGCATATTATCAATTCATATAATTATGTGTTCAACGTGACTTGTCTGACTGAAGTTGCTTTTGATTTTCTCAGAAATTCTTCTTCCCTGTTCTCTTTCCCCTCCCCCCTTTCTCTTCTGACTCACACAAACACACACAGAGGCACTCAGCAGGGGGCGAGACATTAACTTACAACAATTCAAATGTGGCTCAGCATCTTTTCAGCGACATGTCACTCGAACAAAACAGATCTGAGAGGGAGAGACTTTACCCCCCCTCCCCCTCCTCAAAAAAACATTCATTGTGGGAATACTTTGGATTTTGTAACAGGAACAGAGTTATCATGCAAACCTCTGTGTCTAGTAAATGTGGAGCTGGACTGCTGGTGAAAGGAGGAACTCTAATATTAATGAATTTATACATAATTGTAATGAAATGAATGTTGACTACAGACTGAAATAATTGGGCATTGTGTATTAATATACTAATAAAAACCAAATAAACAATATCACTGCATCAAAGCTAAGCAGATATCAAATCAATAGTGTTATTTTAATTCAAACACAACAGCTAATATTTGAACAAAAACATGACCGAATAAATACAAATCTTACAGAAATCACATTTCATCCAGATTAACCATCAACTCGCCTACAGGCTTATGGAGTGACAGTTTATTGCATATATTTCTACCTACCTGGTGCAAATTGGGACGTGATACAGAAAAATCCTGGTTACTTAAGTTATTTTCCTCTGAGATAACTCTTAGTCACCGGTTGGAAGATGATGCGTTGCATGTGTCCTCCACGCCTGCCCACCACACATCAGTCAAACTTGGAACCTCTCCATGTCTCTGCATCACTCAGTTTTCACAGTAATACTAAAATCTGCTCTACATTCACATAATTACATTACCATCCATATGCCAGTATTATATAGTCAGTGTTGAAAACAAACTGTGGATTTGTGGTTTATGGCTGGCAGTGTTTACGTGAGAGCTTTGTAATGCATACTGTAGATTACGCTCAATATTTGGTTGTTTGGTTAGGTTTAGTTTGGGTACCACTTTAAAATAAAAAAAAATAAAAAAAAAACAAGCAGTAAGAATGTAAGTTGTGTTGCATTTATGGTGAAACAGTTTTCCATTTTCTAGCACGTAGGGTTGTCTATATGGCACCGTGTTGTGTTTTCTCCACCGGAAGGGTATCCTAGTATGCCCTTCATCATGTTTTATCTACCGTAGGAACATCCAAGAGGGCATGGGGGAACCGGGTGGACAATCATCTGCATTTTATAACTGTTCAATCCAGAGTAACTGTAATGTGGTGGAAGCAGCAATCTCACAAACAGATATCTGAATCAATGCGCATAAAACCAAAACTATCTCATGGCCAGATACCTCTAGAGGTAGGAAAGAAAAGATGTCTGTGTCAATAATGCATTGGTTTGGAATCTGCTGCCTAGTATGGCTTGCCTATGGGGCTAGTAGTAATTTCATAGATTGGAGCTTAAATTTCAGGTCCTTTATTTGCTGTATCTCAGAAAAGACGGAAAGTACAGAGCTAATCGCAGGATCGTTCTTCACCAAACAAATTCACATGTTGGACCTGGACAGGACTTTGAACTGCAATCACAGTCTCAGTTTGCTCTGTTAGACCAGTGTTTAAATTGAGATAAATGGGAATTTATGAAGTATCAGAACTCTCCCAAGCTTTTAAATGCACACTGAAATTAATCAGCCTTGCGGATATGAACCAGATTCTGTTTTAAGATATAAACTACTGTTGAAAGTTGTTTTGCAGGGTCTATTGTTGACTAGCAGACTATAATGTATTACAAGACACCATTATTCAAACTGGATCTATTATCCACTGAGAAGCTTAAATTTTGCATGTACTTATATGAAAAAAAGAACAGTAATTCACATAATTTATAGCCACAGA